GCTCCTGTGTCTTTACGATTACCATCTCGGGTATCTCAAAGGGCTTGGAAGACAGCTTCTCCTGGTATCCCATCAGGCAAGATATTCCCGTCAGCACGGGCATCTCGTCCTTTACTGTGACGATCAACAAGAGTGACGGCTCAAGCACATTATTCAACAACAATGGCAACGGGTACCCCATCCAGGATGGCATCTTTCTCCAGACGTCCCAGAGCTGCCTGACGCAGAACTCTGGCGATGTTACACTCGTCGCCGCAGTCCGCAACGACCGCACGTCTCTCCCGGTCAAGGCAGAAATCTCTTACAAGACAGCGCGGACAAGCAGCGTGGTGCCGCTGCTGGGTAAGATGACCGTCGATATGGTCAAGGGCGACTGTGTAGGCAGCTACACGTTCTACAGTGTCACAACGAACATTCCCGGTGGCGTCAGTTTCGAGTCGACTTTTGACTTCATCAGCGGAGAGGGCGCGTCCGCCATGATTGACCCCTTCAAGAAGGCTGACCCTATCGGTGGGACATGTTCGAGCTGGACGGGAGGGTCTCCGACATGCGGCAGCGTCACAGTGTCGTCTTCCACGTCCAGCGCAGCTCCGACTGCTACAATTTCCCACCGACAGACTATGGGTGGCTACAAGCTCGTCTCCTGCTGGACCGAGGCTTCTGGTGGCCGAGCTCTCACCGGTGCCGCTTTCGCTTATGACGGCATGACCCTCGACAGCTGCATGGCAAACTGCACGGGATTCGACTACTGGGGAACCGAGTACGGACGTGAATGCTACTGCGGCAACTCTCTGGCTACGTCCAGCAGTTCTGCGCCCTTGGCCGACTGCAATATGCCATGCTCTGGTGATTCAACACAATACTGCGGAGCCGGCAATCGCATTGAGCTGTACTCAACCACCGCCACCCGCACCAGCAGCTCCACGGCCGCTCCCACGGCTACCCTCGCACACATCAGCACCGTCGGCAAGTATTCTCTCATTGGCTGTCAGACAGAGGCCGACGGCGGTCGCGCCCTTACTGCTGCTCAGACTGCTGCGGACGACATGACTCTCGACAAGTGCGCTACTTTCTGCTCCGACTACACATTCTTCGGCACTGAGTATGGACGCGAGTGTAAGTGTTGAGTGTATCTTAGGGCATGAATGAGAACTAACACGCAGTAGGCTATTGCGGTGACAGTTTAGCAGCAACCAGCAAGACTGCGCCCTTGAGCGAGTGTAACATGAAGTGTGCCGGTAACTCGTACCAGTACTGCGGCGACGGCAACCGTTTGGAGCTGTACAAAGCAGGCAGTGCCTCGTCTACTTTGGCGTCGACGGCGGCTACTACGACCTCGAGCAGCTCTTCTTTCACAAGCTCTGTCAGTGTCTTGGTGGCGAGCGGGTCAACGTCTTCTTCCCTGACATCTGCCTCTGCTACTGCCAGCAGCTCTTCGACCTCGTCGCAGGTGTCTTCTTCAAGTTCGAGCAGTGTCGTGTCTTCCAGTAGTTCCAGTTCTACCAGCAGCGTCGCATCCTCGAGCAGTGTCACGTCCTCCTCGAGCACGTCATCAAGTATCGTATTGTCCTCCAGCAGCACCGTCACTTCATCGACAGCCTCGCCCTCTGCCTCCACCACCATCTCAACCTCCACAACCGCCTCCCCGACGCTGGCTCACAAGCCTACCATCTCGCCCTACACCCTGGTAGGCTGCTGGACGGAAGGCAACGGCGTCCGCGCCCTGAGCCAGAAGAATTACGCCTCTGGCGACAACATGACGCTCGAGTACTGCGCCTCGTACTGCTCAGACTACAAGTACTTTGGCACGGAATACAGCAGCGAATGCTACTGCGGCAACTCCCTCGCCTCCACCAGCGCCGCCGCGCCCTTGGCGGACTGCAGTATGACCTGCAGCGGCAACAAGTACGAGTACTGCGGCGGCGGCAACCGCCTGACGCTCTACCAGTCCGACAAGCAGGTGACGGGTCCCAGCCAACCCGCCACGGCCGGCGCCTACGCTTTCCTCGGCTGCCGCACCGAACCCGCGCAGGGCGGACGCGCTCTGGATGCCAAGGCTACGGCCAGCAGCGACAAGATGACCAACGAGGCGTGCGCGGCGTTCTGCGATGGGTATAGCTACTTTGGCACGGAGTACGGCGGCGAGTGCTACTGCGGTAATACCCTGCCGACGACGTCACTCGATGCCCCGTTGAGCGATTGCAGTATGTTGTGCACGGGTTCCAGCACAGAGTACTGCGGTAATGGCAACCGTTTGTCAGTATATAAGAAGTGAGAGCGGTGTGATGATGCGGATGGGTTTGGACACTAGACCCGGCGCATATAGTTCTGCCGATGCATTCGGCATCGACGAGATTGGAGATATGATACCTTTTTGGTCAAGAATTTCGGCCATTTATATAAAATTATAATACATATTACTCTCTTTGCTTTTAGGTCAAATGAACCACGTAGAGATACCTAGACTAGGGGTGAACCAATTCTCGCCCTCCGCTAGCGAGAAATGTGACATCCACATGCTGGCAGTGTGCAATCCGCTCAACTCTTGCGAATCATCATCGCCAAGGAACATGGTCAAGTATTAAACTCATAGTGGTTTAAAGGCCTGGGTCAACTCTTTAATCGTTTCATCTACTTGAAGTAGTATCCTATCCTTCCGCGTCACCGTCGGTGGGAATATTCCAAAGATTGCTTACACTCGGTAATGTCATGACCTCTTTCCCGCTGTCGGTCCCTCAAAGATTGACCTTGGTCAGTTCTCTTTAGGGGGAAAGCGTTGAGTGCCTCAATTGTAGATCCTGTTCAGAATATCCAGAACGTTCGCCTTTCTGTTGCCTCCGTCGCCCTCACCCTCGTCTTGTCTTCTTCTACCGAAAAGCTGCCTTCTTCCTTCCATCATTGCTGTTCAAGTGAGGAGTTATCGCCAAGATGATGAAAACAGCCTAGCTGTCTGTAGGGGGAATTCAAAGCTCACGTCAAGTATACCGGGGATACAACGTTCTATCAGATATAGATAACTGTTACCAACATGCGTCTATTGGCAGACCGGAAGCTTTGATCTGAGTCATTTTTCTAACTACCTCAGCTGACTCCTAAGAGAGGGAAGAGAGGCAATAGTGCGCTCATACCTGCAGGGGCAAAAAAGTACGGGGATACACTTTGGCCAGCGAGCTCATATTACGCTGAAGCAACTTCAAGGTGGTTAAAAGATTCTCGTTCCACGACAATATCTCAAAATTTTCAGGGGACCAAGATTTCAAAATACGTAGTAGCCGCAGCCTTCCATGAAGCAAGAAGGCCGGTGGTCCAGGGAACCCCCACAACTCAGCCCTTCCCAGACAAAAGGCGCCCTTGTGTTCCTCCCTCTGCGAATATTACCCGTAAGATTTGTCGACTCAGCGAAGTACGATGTGGGGTATTGCATCGAAGTTGCAGAGGCTAGGTTGTAAACTCGATGCAAGGGTAGGTTGGCGGCTACAAGCCCTACCGAGTAAGAGCAACATTCAGAGCAGGGATAGAAGCGAGCTCTCTATCATACAGTTGTCCTTTATTAGATCTCTGAAATGACTCACTGGGTATCGTATTATCTTGTGGCTTAGGTCCTGCCGTCGCGTGCTGTTCCCTCTCAAGGGGACGCCTAGTTGGGTAGCTCGAGGCCGAATTTGACGTGTCCCGGAAACTTCACTGACAATTTCAAACCATCAATCTAATCTGCGTGTCTATCATTATATTATAACGCAATCACCTAGGATTAACGCCACTTAGACTAAGAAGATAGACTTATAGAGTTCTCAATATGGCCGACGGGTAAATACGTAATGATGGTTAACTGAGCCAGGCAAACGAATTCGCAACGTTTGGTGTCATGGAGACATCTTGACCTCGATATCAACAAGACTGATATCACCTTGAGGTTGAAGCTAGTATGACGTAGATTACTTGTTGCTGGCCGATAATCTGGATTCTTATATCAGACTTCTACTTTGTATTAAAGCATGATCGTTTGATATTTTCATCGCGAGCTGTTATATCATCTAGACTTCCTAAGTCTGAACGAAGTTGAACGTCTAGCAGATAGACAGGCCATCATCTTAGAAGAGGAGAAGCCTCATCGTGGTTGAACAAACTTGAATACCATGCATCCAGTTAAAATGAAAGGTGTCAAAACAACCTCTGACAGCCAACACACTGGAAATCTTTTCGATGTATTAATTTGGACGCTATTACCTGTTCTCTCGCCTACAAGTGAACACGAAATTCATCTACCACCGAACGACTTATACATGACTATAAGCAATGCCCCTAGAAAAAACGACAACGGAAATAGACTACCTCTTCCGGACAGAATGATTTGGCCGTATAGGGGAGACGGCAGAAGGGGCTGGGGCAGAGCCGACTTTCACTCTGGGGGATCCAACCTGGTAGAAAGCCGCCCTTTTAAATAGGAAGTAGACCATGCGGCTCCCTCACACGAGTGAGGAACAAATGGGGCAGCGCAACAAAGTCTGCGATGGCTGAAAGGCGTAAAAGGCGCGATGATTTCGGTTATGGCATACGTTGTCGTGGCTCTAACCTGACAGAGCGGACCAACGCTGCGGATGCGTCTACGACCCATCAATAAAACACGATGAAAATCAGACAATCAAGACCTGGCAGAAACAATGTAGTCCAGCGCACAACACGCAAAGGTCGTTGAAGCGAGCATCCGAACAAGATCCCGCCCTACACATACGCCTTGACGGACATCGTCACCAGAGTCCACGGCTTCATCCATCACTTTGAGCAACTCCCCGGAAGACCTAAATCCCAAGAACCACATCCACACAGTTGAGAGGAGTGTAAAGGATGGTCAAAAAGTGTCGGGGTATCGTCGCTGCAAGTCATAAGGGCGTTGAGCAACAGTAATATTGCATTATCGCGACATTGTAGGCGGTAAAAAGATAAGCCGACCAGCCGCACTGTTTTTTTGGCCAAGCGTCTGTCGACAACACCGTCTTCATCGACCAAAAGTACACCCAGCCAGCGGCATGTGATGCAAGTGTCATCGAAAGGCATCTCGTAATCACGTACTGTACACCTGGTCGCATTTGCGATTGAATTTGGAGGTGATTGTGATTCAAATTGGAAGGCGAATGCGATGCGCAGAAGAACGTCTTACGACAGCCGGCATTTAATACAAAAACACTCACGTCACATCACAGCATGAAGCATCTCGTCCTCATCGGGGCGTGCTACGTCGACACAGTCCTCAGGCAAGGCTCTCATCCCGCCCACTGACCAAGACGGGGGCATCCTACTCACACTTCTTCTTCTCAAGCATACCTCACTTCCCAGAAGAGGACCTGAAGCTACGAGCCACGAGCATCCGCGTACGCAGGGGCGGCAACTGCCCTAACACAATGGAAGTCCTCCAGCAACTCCTCCGCGCAGAGCACCTCCCGCATTCACAAACCGAGCCCCTGACGATGCACCTCGTCTCGCCCCTGCCGGAACGTCAATCTCAGGCAACGGCGCAGATCATGGCCTCGTTCCCGCCAGCGCCATGTACCACCGCCGTCGCCGCCGCCAACGCCGCGGAGATCACATTTGATCACTGCCTGTTCCGCAAAGGCCACCAGGCGCCGGCGAGCAGTTACATTTTCCGCAGCGAGGCGACCGGCAGCCGGACAATTGTAAACCATAATGACCTGCCCGACATGACGACGGACGAGTTCCTCAACGTTGTCGAGGCGTTCCGCGGCAAAGGCGACCGGACGTGGTGGCACTTTGAGGGACGGGTTCCGGAGACGACACTGAGTTGCATCCTGGCTCTTCGACGGGCCCTGGGCGACGACGCGGTGACAGTCAGCGTCGAAGTCGAAAGGCCGGGCAGGGCGGGGTTGAGAGAGCTCGCTGCTGAGGCGGACGTGGTTTTCTACTCCAAGAGCTGGGCCGAGGTGCGTCACGATCGTTCTTGGATATCGGCGTACGCCAGTCACAGCAGTGCGCGGTGCATACTGACAGGACTGGCATAGGCCTGCGGGTATACGTCCGCTGACGATTGCCTGAGGAAAGAGTCGCTGTCGTTACCGCGGACGTGAGTTCGGTCAAGAGGTGTCTACCGGTCACGCAACACGTTTCTTGCTGACTGCAGAATGACAGATCGTTGGCCATGGTTACGTGGGGTGCCGAGGGAGCATGGTGCATATCACCCAAGGACCGGCAGCTGGTCAAAAGCCCAGTCGAGACGCCGGTGAAGCAGGTCGTCGAGTAAGCTTCGCCATACCGCTACTCAACACTCAACCCTCTTCTTGGCGCGCGATACTGACAAGATTGGGGGGGAACAGCTCAGTAGGGGCGGGCGACACGTTCGTTGCGGGCATGCTGTACGGACTGATCTGCCAGGCCGACACTTGGGACGTGACGCACAAGTTGGGCTTCGCGGTTGCACTCGCCACGCTCAAAGTCCAGCGAGAGGGGTTTGATGGACTGGGAAACGACATTCGTATGAATATGCAAAGGTCGCGCTGACGGTGGGCCATCCGTCAGGCGTTGAAACTGTCGCCGTGGGCACTCCGGGTCGTAGCCCCGTGCCCCCCCGGTGCCGTAGATGGATGCTTCGGCGGGTGGGACGAGTGCCCGCCAATCGTCAGGTAAGCCAGGCCAAGAGGCCGTATTTTGCCCGCCAGCGGACCGATGGAGCACCCGTCGGCGGTCGCGCCTGTTCCGAAGCTGTGCGAGAGTGAAAGGTTGTCAGACCCTCTAACAAGTATGGCTCTGTGGGGAACAAGAGGCGGTGTACATGGTGGGCAAGGCTCAAGCGAGGAGGCAACCTGTTACGAGGGAGGGGACTCGGCAGTACACTAATAGTGCAGTTGGACATCCGCAAAGGCCGGGACGCGTTGGCGCCGCTCGTTGTTGTTAGTGGAAGGGTGACAGGCCGGGCCAACATGCATTCATGCGCCGCCGATGCTTCGATGCAGCTTGAAGATGGCGCACCTCACGCGGGGCCTGCGACGGCGAACAAGGCTGCATGTGGCCTGCTGCAGCTGATAGTGGCATGCCGCATGGCCCCCAGACCTAATCGGAGACTAATACTGCGCAGGCAAAAACGGGGAGAAGTAATTTGGGCCGTTGCTACAGTACCTCTGTGTGTACGTCCTCACATGCCGGCCAGCGAAGTTTGTCGCGAGAATTTCGTCCCCTTTGTATGGATCTACTACAGCGAGACCGTGTGGGTGACTGAACATACATACAGATGGACCAAGTAACCTTGTAGGGGAGGAGGGCTGGGGACAGAGAATTGTCACATTTTTCTGAAATCGGTTGCGGAGCCAGAGCCTGGAAATGAGGCAGAGAACAAGACGAAAAAAAACTCTTCCCACGACGTTGGACCTCTCACGAGAGAGAATGGATAGGCGATTGTTGATACAGCAAGTGGGGACCACGGCCTGTTTGTCGATCTGCGGCGATTCAAGAGCCTTGTTTGTTGTGCTCTTCCTGAAGTTCCTCGAAAGTAGTCAGTGGAGTCGCCTCTATTTCTCGTGTTTCCATACCACGGGTCTCGAGAAGAGATGGGAAAGTCGAAGTATCCGTAGTAGAGTATGGCCGGGTTCGTACGGATGCACAACGCATATGGCCCCGAGTCTTCGTCGTTGACCCTGACATTGTGGTGCCGAATGGTGCCGTATGAGAGTCAATATCAACAGCGGGGCTGCAAATCTTTGCGGTCGTCACGGTCAACAAATCATGACGTTCCCCTTCTTGCAGGCCCGAAGACTCAAGTGCGTCGGGCGGGTTCGGTCCATCCCATCATCATCATCAAGCTAGGCCTGCGCCTATCTTTATCTTTGCTCCTCGGCTACGGCGAAAATGTTCTCGAGCACCCAAGGGTGACGGACTGCTGCGACTTGCGCTTCGTTCTGGGAATGTTGGCGTTGATACATGGATCGGGGTGCCGAGCAAAACTTCGAGTATCTCGGGAAATGCAGAAGTACGCTGACGAGGGCGGATTACAGTCAAGCGTCGTAGTAAAGTTACTCGCGAGTGAGTCCGCATTGCTTAGACCAGTGGCCCCTGACGGAAGGAAGCGGGTTTGTCTGGATGTTCGTTCGTTTGACAGCTTTGGGATGAAGTTGAGCGGGCGGTGGGCGGTGCCTGGTGGCAAAACCTTGGATCGTCCAGAATGATGTAGCGATTTCCGCCCACAGACCAACGGTAGCAGGGGCTTTTGCCGACTTTGAGACCACGGTACCAGAGACTGGGAGCAGGGACAGGCGTGCTGGCACAGTCAGGCTTCTGCAGCTTCAGGAATAAGCCCGCTGGGCCTAACGGAGCTGAGCAGTCGAAAGCTTCTGTGACCGCATCTGTAAGACCGGGCAGACAGTCTGCATGTCGCCTTTCTCAGGGGCTGGTTGTGCTGTGTAGGGGGGAAACATCGCACCACTGTTCCCATTCTCAAGGGTAGAGGAAAGCAAGCACTGCATGGCAGATTGTCTGACCGAGGGGCCGAAGGGGGCGTCCCTGTAATCGACGTCGGATATGTGGTCAAGGACGGGCTTTCTCACAGAGTGGTAGGTAATACCAAGGAGACCAACAGGGACATGCGGATACCTTGCGGAAGAAGAAAAGTAAAGCTACTGTATCCGTATAGTCAGATGGAACGCAAAAATGATAGGTACTGGCACACTGGATCATCAGTCAGCCATCCTGGCCGCGACTGCTTGCGAATGCTGTGCGACAAGGGCTTGATGACTGGGTAGCGAGTACATACCACGTGCATACTTATCATGATAGCTTCCAAAAGCTTCGTCGATCGAAGGACGCCCGCTTGTGCTCGGTGGTTGTAGCAATGGCAGCGAGCGGAAGAGCACGGCGGCGCGGGTTGTGTCGCAAAGCTAGTGGCAGCAAATATGAGCGTTGGTCACAGCTAGTGAGTTGTATCCGTAACAGCCTCATGTCGACCATTCTTGCATGTCTCGTGGGACGAAAAGAAACCACGGCGGGCAAGCGGGGATGAGCGAAGATGTGGGGGCGAAGGACGGTTAGTAAATAATGGGACTGTCCGTCTATGGCGTCTTAATCTCTGTTGGCGTGCCTGGCACTGGGAAGAAGGGGTGTGAAGTGTCGAATATCGGTAAGTTGAGCTTGAACCGGGGTTGAGGTGGCATCAAGCCAGTCGAAGGAGAAAGGAATCGTCAGGGTAGCATTGGACAGCGGTAGTCATGGCGGTGATGGCTGGCTCAATTAGCGGCGGCGGCAACCGGTAAGGGTGAGACTGATCTTGTTAGCGTATGGAAGGGGTGGTGAAGACTGAAAAGGGCAGAAAACCAAAATCTTTCACTGCCTCATCCTCATCGACGTTACGTGCCCACACCCCTCCTTTTCCCATCCAAGCCATCTCTCCTCCTTAGCCCGCATTTAACTTGCTGAGATCGGCGAGGTCTCTGCCTACGTGCGGATAGGCACGCACGTAGGAGACCAAAAGCACACTATCCGTTGTTTGCCGTCATGTCGAGTAGCGGGTACGTGTCGCCTCTGCTTCAAAACCCTACATCTGCTGGTTAGACCCAGGTACTGGATACCTCGAAACAGGTGGTGCCACCTCTACAAATAGATGCAGCCAGTGCTTCAACTTTTCAAGCATATCTCATCGTGACTTTCTGCGCCCGGCTCACAGGAACCGCCTCTCGTGCTACGACGAGTCATGATCTGCATCGCAAAGTTATTGAGCACTCATATCTTCTGTCTGGCTGCTTTGATCCAGATCGTAAGATCCAGCTGGCCTTGGGATGGGTCCTCCTTTGCCGAGAATGACTGTCAACAGTCAGTGTCCAGCTTTGAGGCCAGGTGCTCATGGCTTTACTCTCGCAAGTCTCGTGAGCTTGGCTTACTTTCGATGTATCGATATACGGAGTACCCAATGCCCATAGCCTCGCTCGCGTGGCATACCGTTGTTTTCAATGCCGACCGTCCGCATGCTTCCTCTGTTCAAGTATCAGCATGCTGAAGCTCCGGTCAGTTATTATTGTACTGAACGACGAGTCTTTTGCAAGAGAACAGAAGACACACCGGAGAGAGTCCGGCAGCCAGACCATCCCCAGTCCCAGCCGCTCCACAGTGAAGAACGCCTTGATTGCCATTACCCGGTCAGACAGCCGCTAAAATCGCAAAGGGTGCTGGGCCCATGGCACTGGTTAAAGAGTGGCACCGGCCGGATACTTTTGTCCATCTCGAAGCCAGGCCCGCTGGGCTACGCTAGGCAACTGACGCTGTCCTCATCTGTCTGACAAGGGACTCATCATCTCCGAGCCAATCCCTGGCATCTTTCAGCACGTTGGAATCTCTGGGGCCGGGACTAGGGCCGGGGTCCTAGCTCGCTGGATGACAAGCCATGGCCATATCATGACCCATGTCTAGAATTGTGTGTGCGTGTATGTGCTGGTTCCCGCATTCGGTCGGACTAGGTAAATCGTCATGGGCAGCTGCAATTGCCGCCGCGTGGTGTGGTAAAGGTAAACGGCACCTTCGCACGTACACCGTACCCGGATTCTTGCTGAGTCGTCCAAGTGAGAAGTCTTGAGTCTGTGTGTATTCTATGGGCTGATGGCCCGTACTGTACTTCCGCCGGGTAGCTGAGAGGTAAATACAGTCATTCGTACTTTCGCGAACTGAACCACCTGGGGCAGTGTGAATACCTATCTGGAATTCTGAACCCGAAGAATGCTCAAAGAAGTACTCCGTAGATGGCCGTGGATGGCGTTGTCTCGCCCCGTTGTATGGTCCCGATGGTCGGTGCTTTCTGTCAAGTTCCCCCATCCATGCAAGACGCCCAATCAGTCTTCAGGGGGTTCTCCCGGTGGCCCGCGCGTGAACAGTAGATCATCTGGTGGAACCGACCTTACCAGGGCTGGTTCGAGGGTTGGCGGATTCTTAGTCGACAACCTCGAAGTGACCTTGGGAAGCCTGTTATCCCTGCCCTGTTTCATTTTCATCTCTGGCAGACCATAAGACGGACTGCCCACTAGTATGTATACAGCTTGACCCACCAAGAGTCGACCCCTGAGATCCCTGACTTCTCAAGCCTGGCTAGCCGGCATGACAGCTTTGCGCATTAAAGTGTTCTTGTCGGTAGGCCCCGGTTTCACCGAGGCCCCAGTTGCTCTGCCCTGCCAGCCTGGTTCTGTTCATCAAAGAATGCTAAACAGGACACAGTTAGCACACCACCCCTTGAGCACAAACGGCCGAGCGTCACCCGGGCTTTATTTAGCTCGAGGGTGATATTGTCCCCATAGAACCTTGGAAGTCCGAAAGGTCTCGTTGCTAGCAATAAACACGTCAGTGATTTGCGGCTGTTATTGGTTTGTCGCGGATCCTATACTTGGTGGTAACCTGGAGCTTGACGCCCCGTTTTGTGCAACATGCGGGTCGTAGTCACCTAGCATGAATTGCTTTGCGCCATCTTCACTGATTTCTTCCAACCCAAGGCTGTCTTCGTATTGACGAGAAAGCCTGGTGACTTATGGAAGAAGAAGAGGCACTCCGCATGGTGTCGCCTGCTATGCCAGATATACCCCTGGCCCCGTAACCGTACAGTACGCTTTATGTTGGGTTAATAAGACTCAAAGGATCGAAGCAGTGCGTATTGGAATAGCTGAGGTCGGCAGTGAAGTTGGGGCAGTAGACTTGAGCGTTCAAAGTCAAGATCGACCAGATACTAGCGGAGTTGAGTGCGTGCGTGCTTTCTTGTCTGGTTCACAGACCTACGTAGTAGGTAGACGGCCCTGCACCGGGTATTCAGATGTACATATGGATAATGCATTGGACCGGGGGTCAAGGCTCGTCAATCGTGCGCGAATAAGGAAACTTGCATGCTGATCATCTCGCGGAAGCAAATTTGGCTTTTGTCTATCCAGCCACGCCCTCAAGTAACCTGGTGCACGAAACCAAATATGGTCGGACAGACTTCCGCCGACTGACAAGGAGTAGGATCGCTGGCCTTCAGTATCCGTACGTCCTTGGTCCCGGTATATGATGCGCAGGGAAGGAGAGACGGCTGCTGTCTGAAGGGCACCGACCTCCGCGAGAAATCGGGAGACCTCTGGTATCGAGGAAGCGTATCCGTGTCGTCGTCTTAAATCGAGAGAGCTTCGATCAGCCACGCGTCCTTGTGGCGCGGGTGGGCACAGCACAAAGCTGACAGCCATAATTCTAGCAAACCCGAGAATGTGGCTGGGATGGTGAGCCTGCCTTATCTTGATCACCGCTTCGTATTGGTGCATGAGCGAGAACGCGACGGCGAGGATTTCCAACCTTCGTTAAGTCGTCGACTGAAAGGCGGCCGTGAAAGGGACGAAGCGTGCCCGTATGCGAACACATGAAAGAGAACGTGGGCTATGAGTAGTGAGCTACGGATAGTCAGTATCGAACCATCGACCGAGACGCGAGAATCAAATGGGCGTAAGCCCGACTCGGTCGAGACTTTGGCAAAGTGCACTGTTAATGCGCAGTGTTGGACGAAAGATGGTGTGTCGGTGACAAGACACGCCGATGCTGGAGGACAACTTCTGTGACAAGTCCAAGTGGCCCACGGATAGTAGCCGTGTGATCCGGCCATTGGGAATGGCAGGCTTCAATGGCTCAGACTTTGAAAAGGTCTCACCGGGCTGCAATCGCCCTTGAATAACACGGTAGTGTTCTCCATACTGTGTTGGGCCTTGAATGGTGGTAGGATGAAGGCGCAGACGTACTGTGTAAGTAGCCAGATAGATGAGTCGAAAGTATTGGCCAATGTGGCTTCCAATGATGAGGTGGTATGCCCAAGGGTCTAAGTGAGTGATATATTCCACTGAAGATCATGCTGTCCTAGGCAGGCCGCAGGCGGGTGTGCGCAGAGAGTGTTGCATTAGGTTTCAAGGTCTCCAGGGCCCACGGCACACCCCCTATGAAGTTTGTGAAGCGAGGAAATCAGTGACCAGCTGGACGTCAGCAGCGGAATGTTGGCAATAGCGCCCTGGGTACACCGGTATCCATGTGGACTGAGAGACATATCTAGGTGCAGTTGGTACTTTGGCGGCATACAAGCTAATTCTGATCAGCCGTCTCCGCACTGATGTCTACCGGTATCTCAGTGGTGCAGGGATGCCGCTTCAGCAGGGCTCGCCTTGCTGATCTGAAATGTTGGCTAACACTAGACTACTAGCCTGTGGATGGGCAAATAGGGTAGAGGATACTTGCTCACAGCTCACAGGGTAAGCCAAGTGACCGGGACTTGAGATCGCGAGGCTATTCTGTTAGCGGGTTGTTGCACCTACTTGATATTCGTAAGCGGTGGGTGGAGGCGGCACGGTGCCGCCATACAAGTAAACACCATTGATGGAGAGACCATTCCGTACCTATGTCTGTAAGCTTCGAACGATTGCTAGTGAATCGTATTTGGCTCCGTTCCGGGGAACGTTTAGGGAGATGGATGGATGTTGAAGAGATCTCGCCTCTTCAGGCAGGTGGTGCGTGAACCTTGAAGGCTAAGGTACTGAGCCAGGGCGTCAACTTTCGAATGACCGAGGCGCTGTCCAGGT